ACACACACACACACACACACACACACACACACACACACACACACACACACACACACACACACACACACACACACACACATTTGATATTGCTCAGCTTCCTCCATTCATTTTACTGTCTGTATTTATTTAATAGAACTAAAGTAATTCACCTGTAATGAAATTTAGTAAGTGGAATGTGGCTTAAGATCAATACTGTTTATGGAAGACATTAATTCAGAGAGAGGCACAGAGGCTTAAGTGCATCGCCAACAGTGTGCACCGTCTACACTGGAGGACAAGATGACAGCTCAGAGTTTTAGGGATTTCAAATTTATATTTCATTTGCGAGAGGAAAGAAAATAATATATATATATATATATATATATATATATATATATAGCCTAAAAGGAAACCTTGAGACGCATCTCACATTGTCAGCTACCAACAGACTTATCATGAACATTATTACTACCGAATAACAATTAGAATTTAGTTTTGGCTGTTTATTTTCACTCATTAGTAATAGCAAGTCAACATCAAGATTCCTTCTCAGCTCTATAAATATTGATAAAGCCCAGAGCAAAGATGAAATGTCTGCATACACACATTAGCATAAATAGAAAATTGTTGGCAGCGGGCACCTTGTATGTCCAAAACCGTTATTTTTAGAGCTGCACTCCTCTCTCCCTGTCCAAGTCCAAGGCCCCGGAATCGAGGGGGGCTGCAAAGCCGGGAGCCTCCCTCACCCCGGGCCTTTCCGAGCCGACCAAGAGACAGTGGGCGCGGTGCTTTGTAGAGCAACTACGCCCGGCAAGAGCCATCCCGCCCCCCGGAAGTGGTCCCAAAAAAGGGGGTCCACCCAAACCAAGCAGCCGTCTCTGACAGAATGCTTTCTGTATTTTTGGTTCATTTTGAAAATGAGGGAAACACTCTCTCAGACAAAATCAGAAGTGATTCTTTTACTCTGATAACGAAGTTCTGGATAACACACACAAACACGCACACACACACACACGCACTCATACACACACACGCACTCATACACTCTTTGTCACAGTGTGTGTATTGGCTGGTCATGTCTTTAGCTCACTCAGCTCTTTGTGTTCGAGGGTTTTCGGTCTCTGGAGTGACTCTCGTGCTTCCAGTCAGTTAGAGCGATTAAAGAGACTGGAGACCAGCAGCTACAGCTCACAGGGAGGTGACAGAGAGTATGTGTGTGTGTGAGTGAGAGTGAGAGTGAGAGCGTTTGGGGGTTTACCACTCCCACCATAATCTAACCCTTCTCCATTGCAAGAACTAGAAGGGATGGTTTGGGCGTTTTGAAGTACGGTTGTTTGAGGTACTTTCTCCACGGTCAAGCTATAACCTACAGTACTTCATTCAACACCCATCATGTGAACGGAAGCGCATGACGCCCGCTGTCCGGGTTCCCCCCAGGTACAACTGTTAGCTCTATCAGAGCTGTTGCTGTTGTTAGCGCTGTTTGCACATTTGCTGCTAGCCGCAGCTGTATCGAAGAACGCATTGAAGAACGCATTGAAGAACGCTTGCAGTGATTGGCTTTGAGCAAATCAGTCTTTCTGTTCTAGAACACACAAAAAAAAGATCGATTGGAGGCATTGTTCGACTGGAGACGTTTTTGGCACTGGATGATTTTGGTAGATATTTAAAAGTATAGATTAAAGATACCCAGCATGTTACTGTGAATCCCACTGCTGTTCTTGGCAAGACCCGCCCCGCGAAGCATTCAAGCGCCAGGATTGGCCGCGCTCGCAAAGGAACCAGTAACCTGGTTTGTTCAGGTCCTACAGCTTTCAGCCAGTATCCAAACATGAGCTGAATCATATGTGTTTTAAACTTAAACATGCACACACTTACAAAAATAATTCACCCAGATCCCAGTATTACATTAAAATATGAATCAGTTCTGCCTGCCTGTCATTCCTTACACACACAGACACACGCACACACACACACACACACACACACACACACATACACATTACAAGGCAAAATGCCAATGAACAGCAGAAGCTTAAAAATTCAATTAGCAGCCTGACTGTGTGTGTGTGTGTGTGTGTTCAGATACGACTGTAAACTGGGAATTAATTAGAAACACTGAACACTCAGATTGATAGATAGAGAGAGCGATAGAGAGAGAGAAGGAGAGAGAGGATGTCAGACTGAGGAGAGAAGAAACAGGAAGAATACAGAGAGAGAAGCAGAGCGAGGTGAGCGAGAGACTATTGAAGAAAGAGCAGAGAGAGAGAGCAAAGAGGAAAAGAAAGAGACTGCCGATGAAGATTGAGAGACAGAGTGAGAGGGAGAAAAGAAAGAAATAGAAATAATACAAAGACTAAACAATGAGTTGAAAGCAACACAAAGATGAGATTGGGAGGATAAAGAAGAGGAGCATAGAGAGAGAGAGAGTGAGAGTACAGCAGAATAGATAGACTGGCAGAATGTACGGACAATTCAAATGTAAACATTACTTCATTTATCTTCAATTCAACACTGACAAGTCTCCTTCATTCAGTGATAAAATGACAAGAAAAGCCCAAAACAACAATTCAATCAAGTGTTTTGTCAATGAAAGATTGAAGAGTATACGTTGACCACAAATACATCAAGATGGAAATGAAGATGGAGTCTGAAAGAAGGTCTGACAATTTCTGTGAAGCTTTTCAGAAATGGAGAGAAGATGTTGCCAATAGTTAAGCATTCTGCTCTCCGCAGCCGTGAGCTATCTGCTGCTGCGGAGAGCAGAATGCTGAAATACTAGCAACATTCTCTCTCCTGAGGCGCTCTGACGACATTGTAGTTATCACCGTATGTCACCTAGATGTCTTTACAGGCCCACATGTCTGCAAAGAGAACAGGACATTAGTTTTACAATTACCACTATATCATGGGATCACAGAGTTACTATTACTATGAGGTGTAGTGGTAGCAAATCATCTGATCAGAGAAGAGAGCAGGAGTTTTGTTTTGAAACAAAATTTTGATCTGAGCCATGTTGGTTTTTAAAAAGCTGACTTATCAAAATGAAATGACTTTTCAAAATGAAACGTAATCCGTAATTCGTAATTTGTAAACCGTTTCATTTTAGTACAGGTTACTGTATGAAGTATGATGTATGAAAAAAATTATGTATGACGTATGAAAGTCCATTACCGGAATATTTTATCCTACGTTTTGCTCATCTCAAGCTAACCTTTTTATTTCCCAACCACTGCGAACACAAAGCGATCACCTTTTAACTCCTAGCTAAAGTTCACAGCGGTGGAGGGAAATACAGAGCGGCCTTCAGTCCGTCCGTCCAATCAACCGTAGACTCTTAGAGTATTTGGACGGATCGCAAATTAACGGCGCCGAGGAGGAGTGAGATTTTACCCACGGAAGCAGATAATAATCGTTCTCAAGACGACGATTGAGAGTAGGAGCGTCCTCAAGTCCCTACACGCCGGCCTCGGCTGTTTGCTGTGATTTGCATGTAATTATCCGTTCCAGATATTTCGGTCCGTTTATCTAATGAGGATAAAATCAGCAGGGAGACAACAGTCTTTAGAATGAAAGAAATCAAAGAGGTTTTGCTTTTGGTCCGGAGGTTGCCGGATTTAATCTGAAGACACAACGTTAAAGTGAAGGCATGTAGTGTTGAGTGTCAAAGTTTCTTCTTCTTCTTCTTCTTCTTCTTCTTCTTCTTCTTCTTATCAACCCTTTCTTCTTCATTCAAATTTCTTTTCATACATCCTCTCCTCTGCCCCTCCTATCCTGATGGTTTGACCCATTTCTCCTCCTCCCTGATTCTTCCTTCATGCTGCTCTCCTTCATCTTGTTCTTTTTTTTTCATTCTGTGTGATCAGAATTTCCACTCCGACTGAAGATCAGTATAAACTCTCTGCTCCACTTTGGATTCATGAGGCCGTTCACGCTGTTGTAATATATTCAGGGTAGATGTTGTTAGATCAGTAAAAAAGAAACATGATGCCACTCTGACTCAGCAAGTAACAAAAGAAAACTACAAATCTGCGTGTGTGTACCCTGTAAACTGCATTTCTTTCAGAAGTTGTATCTTCAGCATCAGGTGAGATAATTCCACCTGCTTCCAGGTCAGTTTGGCTTTGGTTTTGGAATCTGGTTTGCTCTGGAAGCTTTTCCCCAGAAGTAAAAATCCAATTATTATTACATTTTTTATTCTCAAAATTGGTTGCTTTCCCCGAGCTGTCGCACAGACATGAGCTGACGTGGATCTTTCATACTCCCGTGTGGGTTTATCAGGACATTCTAGTTCTCCATTTTCCGCTGAGTTCGACTTTTGTTTTTGTGCTCAGACAGTCGAAAACCCTGCAGCACGTAACCCCCGCGAAGGGTCCGTGTATGAATGTGTGACGTCAATTGGCCGTGCGGACACTCGGGACCCTCAAGGATGTGGCGAGCATGAATCAATCTTTTGAAATCAAGAAAATGACAGGAGGACTTGGTAAAGATCAAGACGTTTTGCTGTACCTTAATGTAGAGTTTGCTGTGATTGAAAATTGCTTTTTTTATTAAAGGTTATTGGTTCTATTAATATCATTACAGTTTTCTGTTACTGTCTTTGACTAAAAACATTTAATTATTTAATTAAAGACAAGCAACCTGTTCATAACTACAGTCCACAGTTACCAAGCACAGGCATTTCTGGGCGACTGTGGCTAAGTGGAGAGCAGGGCCGTCCTTCAATCAGAGGGTCGGTGGTTTGATCCCCGGCTCCGGCTCTGCTAGTCGCATGTCGATGTGTCCTTGAGCAAGACACTTAATGCCAAAAATTGCTCCCGTAGCTGTGCCTACGGTGTATGTGATAGAATCTGAATTGTAAGTTGCTTTGGATAAAAGCGTCTGCTAAATCACTGTAATGTAATATTAAAAGCAGTACAAACAGTTGTACTAAAAACAGTTGTACCAATAACAGTACTAACAGTAGTATTAAAAGCAGTACCAAAAACAGTACTAACAATGACAGCAGTAGTTTTTGTAGATGTACAAGTAGCCTGTTAAGCAGTAGTTGTAGTTGCTTCAGTTCATTTCAGTACAGTACACAACATTACAGTCCAGGTCAGTTCAGCTAGTTTAGTTCAGTTCTGTCCACCAAAGTTCAGTTCACTTTTCATTAGTTCAGTTTAGCTTAGTACAGTAACATTTAGTGTTACTACTCTCTCCTATGGTCCGCTGTGACCTGACTGACTCTTTTATTATTTTGTGACTGCACACACGGATGACCAAACTGGTTTCCCGCTATGGAGATTAATACGATAATCGAATCATGATCTACGTGCTGGAAATATTCCTTGCCACCCCGCCACGACTAGTGACTAGTGACCCGCTGCACAGGAGTACAAGGGGGACTGATGAACTCTTTTTTTTTCATGAATACAATTTGCCAAGTATTGATTATGTCCCCTTTGATTGAGCAGAGACCTCCCAGAAAAGGAACCCGTCCCAGAAAAATCCTTTCTCAAACCATGTTATCCGTGGACGTTTGGACTGTCACGGGGTTCAGGAGGCAAGAATAACATAATATAATATTCCCATTTAATCATTCGAACCCGTTTAGACCCTACTGTAAAATTGTGGGACAACATCAACACGGAAAAGAAAATAAGCTTCTCTTCATTGAATTCCTGACATTCCTGCAGAGTGTAGTTAATCTGCCCGGAGGCCCCGGGAGCCATGTTGAAATGAAAACATAAGCAGGTGTGAGCTTCAGATGATAGAATGACCGGGCTGTGCAGTGCAGTGCATAAGTGCGGCTGGTGTCAGCGTGTGTTTACGTTGCTACAGGCTGCTTGTTGTTGAAGTGAATCTAATCAGACAGGAAGCGGCGTGTGTCCTAAACACAGCGGGCTGGACACTGCCTGTCCACCCTGTCCCCGTCTCTCTGTTTTTCTGTCTGACTTTCATCTGTCCTCCCGTTGTTCAAAGTCTAACTCTGTCTCTCTCTCACATCCACACCCGCTGGGCCTCAACTCCCTTCCTGTTCCATCCTTGTCTATATAATTCTCTTCTACTTGTTGACCTAGAAAACCTTTACCGTCAGCTCACCTCTTCTTCTTCTCCCCTGCTGCTGCTGTTGTGTGTCCTGTGTGACACAGACGCTCTATTAGTACTGACAGCAGGAATGACAGAGAACTGACGCAGTACTGACAGCAGCATTTACAGTAATAATAACACCAGTACTAACAGCAGTACTAACAGCAGAACTGACACAGTACTGACAGCAGTACTGACAGTACTAACAACAGTACTAACAGCAGTACTAACAGCAGTACTAACAGCAGTACTAACAACAGTACTAACACCAGTACTAACTCCAGTACTAACTCCAGTACTAACTCCAGTACTAACTCCAGTACTAACAACAGTACTAACGACAATACTAACGACAGAACTTTCAGCAGTAAAAACAGCAGTATTTAAAACAGTAATAACAACAGTACTATTAGCAGTGCTGAAAGCAGTACTAACATCAGTAGGAACAACAGTAGGAACAGCAATGACAGCAGTAGTTTTTGTAGATGTACAGGTAGCCTGTCAAGCAGTAAATGTAGTTGCTTCAGTTCATTTCAGTACAGTACACAACATTGCAATCCAGGTCAGTTCAGTACAGTTCTGTTCACTATGTGCCATTCAGCTCATTCAGTGGAGTACATTTCTGCATGGCTAAATGAAGTGAAGAGACAAAGAAAGGACTCTGTGCAGGGAGTCAAAGAAACAATCAATAGAATATGTATTTTTACACTGAGATAAGTCTATCAATCCTCCATCTTTCTGTTAATAACCCCCCCCCCCCCCTTTACGAAATCTTTCCAGGTCCGCTGAAGGTGGTCGTGCCCACTGAGTCCGTTTCCTCGTACCTCGGCGATACCGCCCTGCTGCGCTGTGAGGTCTCGGGGGACCCGACGCCCATCATCCGCTGGCAGAAGAACCGGGAGGACCTACCGCTGACCTTTGACCCTGATTCCCGCCTGGCGGTGTTGCCCTCCGGCTCTCTGCAGGTCAGCCGTGTCCAGCCACCAGACTCCGCCACATACCGCTGTCTGGCCGACAACCCTGGCAGCACCAGGACTGGGACAGACGCCGAGCTCCGAGTTCTCCCAGGTAACTGATCCAACAGTGATGTACCGCAATCACCTGACAAATCATTTTACTGTACTTGAGTGCATAGTTAAGGTGCTTGTTCTTGAGTCTTTTACCACGTTCTACTCCTACTCCTGCTTTTATCTAATGATATAATGTATATTACACATTTTTCTGCATTGAGTACCTATACTTTTCATACTTTTAAGGTATGGGATTCAAGCAACCGGTATGAAAACCCCAGATTAAAAGAAATTATCCAACCGAAAAACTCAGCCCAGTGTTGCAACAGTCGGAAACACTGACAGCCTTTCGCTTCAGGCCTCCCTCCAAAGCCACTCCCCCCAAGTTATCATATTGAACATAAACAACCAACATGGCTATCGGGACTAATTACTAGCTAGCTGGTGTAAGATGATGCGCAATGAGTGCACAGGTCAGAGTGGCCGTTGTTAGGCAGGAAGGGAGACAGACAGGAAGTCTGTCCAATGCTTCGGGCTAGAACAGGCTTACTACAGGCTTATTACAGGCTTTTAACAACCACAGATACTGTTTTTTAGGTTTCCACGCCAACGACTGCCGTGGCTGGAGGCATTATGTTGTTGGCTTATCAGTCCTTACATCTGGTCCATTCTCGTGAATGTCTAACCAACACCTTCAGGGAATTTCTTCAGATTTGTCAAAAACATCTACCTAGACTCAAGGATGAACTGGTTGGGTGGTCAAAGGTCAATGTGAACACATTTTTGGCCATAACTCAAGAATTCAAAAGCCAGTTATGACAATTTAACACTAATGTCTTAACAGGATAGAATGATGAAGGGATGACATTGTGTTATATTGTTCATGCTGTACACATGACATCTATTGCACTTTTGTCCAGCCTGGGAGAGGGATCCCTCCTCTGTTGCTCTCCCACAGGTCTCTCCCCATTAAAGGGTTTTTGGGGGAGTTTTTCCTGTTCCGATGTGAGGGTCCCTGGACAGAGGATGTCACATGTGTACAGATTGTAAAGCCCTGGGAGGCAAATTTGTGATTTGGGGCTATACAAAAAAATGTGTTGAATTGAATTGAATTGACATCTAGACAACTTGACTTGTTAAAGATATGCAACTGTGTGGAGGTCAATCTAGTTGATCTGGTTTCAGTGGAGAGTTTGGCCTCCCATATGAGTGTAGATTTCTGTTGATTAGTTTTTTCCCCTGATAAACCTTCTGGCATCAACTTTTGTACATATTTTAATTATTATTTGTGTTCTCAACCTCCGAATGTTATCTTAGAGATACAGTCTTGTGACAGTGACGTACTGCACCAGCGGTTTTACTTAATAGTGAGTTCTACCATTTCATCAGGGAGTCATTTTTGTTCATTTTCTCTCCATGCTAGATGTCTCATTTTAAAATGAAATGTGATGTAATGAATATAAAGAGAGTACGATGGGATTTTAATCATACCTCTGAGATGAAACAGTTTCTCATCAGTCTGCCGGGAGTCCGTCAGCCGCCGATGTTTAATACACTCCACACCGTCCAATTACACCAGTCCATATACTGTCCACTTCATCGCTGGTATTCCAGCTAAGTTTAGCTCTCTCTTTCCTGGTTAAACACCACTTTGACTCGAGCTCCTGAAGTGTTCCTGCACTCTGTCCCAGCAGGGGGTCTCTGGAGCCGGAGCGCCGACCTTCAGCAGGATAATCACATGCACTTTGCATTTCGATCGCCACTTTTTCAAAACCGCTGCACCCCATCCACCCTCACACACAGCTGAAAACATGTGTCAACAGTTAATCCTCATCAGAGTCCCATAGACAACTACAGCCGTTGATTACCTCAAAACTCACCTGGCTGTTACATAAGAAAGTGTGCAAAATAAAGTTTAAGTAAAATACAAGATATATAAGAGTAAAAAAAATTAAACCATAAACTAAATAAACAAATTACAATAATAAATAGATGCATCTATAATTGAGTAAATACAAATATATATGTGTATATATATGAGCAGTTGAAATTAAAATCAATTATTCAAAAAAATATCGGTAGAATAAATGAATTAATCCATTTCACATACAATAAATAATTTGATTGATTTGATTAATCAATGAAACTGTTCATTTTAAACTAAGAGTTAGATTGAATGAAGTATGTATTGTAATTCTGTGTCCTGCTGTCTCTTTGTGCTAAGCTAGGCTAAACATATAGACTTATATCTCTAAAAGTGATATCTGTTTGACTCTGATTTCACTAAACATTGTAGTTTTGCTTCATCAGGCTTCAGAGGATCTTTTTAACATATCTCAAATGTATAAACCACAGAGCTCCCTGTGGTTCCAGCTTAAACTTGTTTATCTTTGATCTGCATGCAGTTTTAATGCATCAGATGGATTCAGTTTTAATGATTCTGTCTCTATGAAAGGTTTTAATAACTGTGACTGCCTAAAGTGTCTATCAGATGGAGCCACCAGTGGGGCTCAGGGGTGAGAGGTGAGAGATTATCCGAGGGCAACATGTGATTCCTGTGTGCCATCTCCAGTTAATACATCCCTGTCCTACTTTCCACTCTGTTGCTGTATAGTTGTGTGTCAGTCCGGATAAAGCAGTCAGATTAGTGACCAAAGAGATGAGGCGTACAGCTCCAGTGTACTCGTGTAGTTTAGCAGCAGGTGTAACCATCAGCCGTCAGGTGGAGAAGAATGCATCCACATGTAGTGTTCAGAGACAAGGTTCACTGAAGAGTTGTGGTTCATTCTATCCATTTTGAGATCTTCAAGGTTTTGGATGGACAGGAAACTCTACTGGGTGAACCATCAGTAGAAAAATATGCTCAGCTGTGTTGAAAATATTGTTTCTTCTAAAGCCAAAAACCTGTCTCATGACTGAACTCTAAAATAAAATCGAAATTTCAAGCTGGAGTGGGCAGCGAGTTAGCTTAGCTTGGCATTACAGACTGAATTGGGGTAAACAGTTGTTTACTGGGCGGCATCCAAAGCTGACAAAATCCTCCTATCAGCACCTCTGAATGTGTCAAACAAACACAGGACTTTCACTCAGGGGGCTGGCGTTCGTGTCCCATGTGACACCAAAATATGATTTTTACGGCACGAGTCATAAAGCGTTACTTCCGTAGCTTATGTTATGTTACAAGCCTACTTACTTCAAGCCAAACCATGATGTTTTGTTGCCTAAACATAACTGCCACTGTTTCATAATTTCATCCACTTGTTACAATGTTAACACACGCAAACCTTCAGCGTAAGGCTGGCCTCGTATCATTACACTACAAAAAAAAAGGAACAAATGTTGTATCTGTTGCTGGACTGCAATAAGCCCGTCCAATCAATTCATCTTGCTCGAATTAAATGACTGGGCGGTCTAGCTGCCTGTCTAACTAGCTACCTGTGTGCTCGTCACCTCTATCGCAAGCTGCTAGCTTAACAGCTTTGAGTACAAACAACAGCCATGTTGGTTGTTTACGTTCATGATGATCCTTTTAGGGGAGTGGCTTTTGAGGGAGGCCTGAAGGGACAGGCCCAGTCAGTATTGCTGACTTGGCAACTTTTTCGCTAGACTTTTAAAACTATTGCTGCTAGCTACTTTCATTGGAAACGAGTTGGCAACACTGGACAGGGTTTTTTAATTGGATAATTTTGAAAATCTAGTGTATCCTTGCTAGTTTCTCAAGATTACCAACCCTAGCTTTCTTATCAACAATAGGTACCTTTCTAGTTCTAAAAGAGCAACTCTTCAGCCTGATCATCTTTTTTCATGCATTCACTACGGAGAGAAGACACAAACAAAATAACAAAAACAACGAAATAGAATAGTAACACGACCTTCCTGTCGGCGTGTAAACAGCAAAAAGTTCTCATGACAGACTGTAAAGTGAAGTGAACGAAATGTTAGTAAACTGGATGAATGATCCAGGAGTTTAGTTTGGAGTCATCTTAAAATGACAGTTCGCCTTTATTTCAACACTTCAGAGGGACACAATGCATAATAAAACATCATTGTGTATATTGTGTGTGTGTGTGTGTGTGTGTGTGTGTGTGTGTGTGTGTGTGTGTCCTGGCTCTCCTTCCTCATTGTGATGCGAGCGTGGTCGTTGTGTCTTCTGATTTGCTGACGGCCTTCTTTGGTGGCGTGCCCGTGAAAACATTAAAGCAGTCACACTGCCGTTCAGTGATTATCTCTGTGATCCCTCGCTCTTTACTCTTCTCTGTGACCAACCAAAGAAAAGAAGAAATAAATCTGCTGTGTGGACGCTTCTCCTGCTTCTTCTTCTTCTTCTTATGTCTCCTCATGTTCACTGCTCACTTTTCTGCTTACTGTCTTGTTTTCTGTCTCTTTAGTTCTTTTGTTACTGAATCCGGAGGTGGTACAGCGTTACACCTTATTTATTATGTTTGAATCACACAAATCTGTCCATGCTGCAGGAAACAATCACTTAATAAGGAAATAGTTAAGTTCATAGGTAGTTGTAATTAAGATTAAGAGTTGGCAGAAAATAATAACTAAAATATGTAAACCCATAAAATGTATATATGATACAAATTATCCACCATGTCAAGTATAAAATTGATTACAAAAATATTAGAATATATATGCAATATAATACTATACATTATATAATAGAGTATTAAATAATAAATTAAAACAATCGACTATAAAAAGTAGAATACAAATATAAAAGATATTATATAATTTTAATAATAATATATAAATTAATATCAGCTCAATCAGATTCATTTCAGAAGAAATGAGGTGAAATGACTCAATGCTCAATGAGGATGAATACGGGTTTACCAGAATATTTCAGGTTGGAGGTGCGTATGTTTGTGTACAGTGCATCCGGAAAGGATTCACAGCGCTTCACTTTTTCCACATTTTGTTATGTTACAGCCTTATTCCAAAATGGATTAAATTCATTATTTTCCTCAACATTCTATACACAACAACCCATAATGACAAAGTGAAAACTGTTTTTTGCAAATTTTTGCAAATCTATTAAAAATAAAGAACGAAAACATAACATGTACATAAGTATTCACAGCCTTTGCCATGACACTCAAAATTTAGCTCAGGTGCATCCTGTTTCCACTGATCATCCTTGAGATGTTTCTACAACTTGATTGGAGTCCACTTGTGCTAAATTCAGTTGATTGGACATGATTTAGAAAGGCACACACCTGTCTATATAAGGTACCACAGTTGACAGTGCATATCAGAGTATAAACCAAGCCATGAAGTCCAAGGAATTATCTGTAGACCTCCGAGACAGAATTGTATCGAGGCACAGATCTGGCGAAGGGTACAGAAAAATTTCTGCAGCATTGAAAGTCCCAATGAGCACAGTGGCCTCCATCATCCGGAAATGGAAGAAGTTTGGAACCACCAGGACTCTTCCTAGAGTTGGCCGCCCAGCCAGACTGAGCAATCGGGGGAGAAGGGCCTTAGTCAGGGAGGTGACCAGGAACCCGATGGTCACTCTGACAGAGCTCCAGTGTTGTTCTATGAAGAGAGGAGAACCTTCCAGAAGGACAACCATCTCTACAGCACTCCACAAATCAGGCCTGTTTGGTAGAGTGGCCAGACAGAAGCCACTCCTCAGTAAAAAACACATGACAGCCCGCCTGAATGCCAAGTGTCATGTCTGGAGGAAACCAGACACTGCTCATCACCTGGCCAATACCATCCCTACAGTGAAGCATGGTGGTGGCAGCATCATGCTGTGGGGATGTTTTTCAGCGGGAGGAACTGGGAGACTAGTCAGGATTGAGGGAAAGATGAATGCAGCAATGTACAGAGACATCCTCGACGAAAACATGCTCCAGAGCGCTCTGGACCTCAGACTGGGGTGACGGTTCATCTTCCAACAGGACAACGACCCGAAGCACACAGCCAAGATAACAAAGGAGTGGCTTCGGGACAACTCTGTGAATGTCCTTGAGTGGACCAGCCAGAGCCCTGACTTGAACCCGATTGAACATCTCTGGAGAGATCTGAAAATTTCTGTGCACCGACGCTCCCCATCCAACCTGATGGAACTTGAGAGGTTCTGCAAAGAAGAATGGGAGAAACTGCCCAGAAATAGGTGTGCCAAGCTTGTGGAATCATACCCAAGAAGACTTGAGGCTGTAATTGCTGCCAAAGGTGCTTCAACAAAGTATTGAGCAAAGGCTGTGAATACTTACGGATGTACATGTTATGTTTTCGTTCTTTATTTTTAATAGATTTGCAAAAATTTGCAAAAAACAGTTTTCACTTTGTCATTATGGGTTGTTGTGTGTAGAATGTTGAGGAAAATAATGAATTTAATCCATTTTGGAATAAGGCTGTAACATAACAAAATGTGGAAAAAGTGAAGCGCTGTGAATACTTTCCGGATGCACTGTATGTCAGTGCCGTGGGGCGTGGAGATGTAACTTTCTGTCGCCTAAAGGAAATTGTCTCATCCTTCTTCGAGAACCCACCAGCCTGAGGGCGAACACAACCTGACCCACCGCAGGGGAGGGTGTGTGTGTGTGTCTGTGTGTAGGTGTGTGTGTGTGTCATCAGGCTTTGATAGAAAATCTCATCTTGAAAACATGACTGCTTCAACCCATGTCGACTTTTTAAGAAGCCAATTCAGAGGTAGCCTTGTTATTCAAACATCTATGAGTTTGTCCATCAGAGCAGTCTTAGATTTGTTAGCCAAATATTCACATACTTTTAAGAACCTTGTGATCCTATGATACCGGTTCTTGTGTTTTCGCTGTATTTCTCATACTGGGACTTTTTGTGCTGTGGATGGCTTCCTCATCATCCTTAATTCTAATGAGGGTCTGGACATCTTTTAACCCAAGCCATGATGTTTCCCCCACTTCAACCAAGTTATTTTTGTGCCTAAACGTGGACCAACAAAGTATTAGATCATTGAGTATTTGTTGGGCTCCAGGAATGGATATGTGGGTCAGTTAGCCCACTGATTTGGCCCAGAATGAAATATCGCAACACCCATTGGATGGATTGCCAGACTTTTACAAAATACCTTGAATATGAATGACATTCATTTGTGTTCGATGCTACTCTACAATAATGGAAACTCTGATGATATTTAAACTACAGAAATGACAACCAGCACTGTGACACTTCATCCTAAATGTTCAGAAAAACAGCTTGTTTGTTTGTTTTTTACAAGCAGACCTATCGCTTTACAGAGCTGGCAGCTGTAGACTCTGAGTCATGTTTAATATTTAGACAAACGTGTTCTTCCAACCTTGTAACAGTTGACTCCTCCATGCACAAAGCCAGCTTCACAAATAACTGTTTTTTCCCAGTTTGGTGTGGAAGAACTTGACCTCAATCCCATATTTACATTACATTACAGTCATTTAGCAGACACTTTTATCCAAAGCGACTTACAATTCTATCACATTTCTACACCGTAGGGAGCAATTTTGGGGTTAAGTGTCTTGCTCAAGGACACATCGACATGCGACTAGCACAGCCGGAGCCGGGGATCGAACCACAGACCCTCTGATTGAAGGACGGCCCTGCTATCCACTTAGCCACAGTTGCCCAACATATGGAACAACATATGGTACAAGAACGGGACCGTTGCCTTCGAGCCAAGCCCTTTTCACCCAATTCACCCAATATGTTGGACTTCACTGTTGCTCTTCCATCTGAGTGGGAACAAATACCTCCAATTGTTTTTTAATGACTTGTTCAGTATCACATACGCCTGCAACGTTTGGGTACATTTGGGTACGTTTGGCCACGTATGGCCACGTATTGTATTTCAGAGTACGAACCCTGTTTCAGTTTCTGGCTTCCTTCTCTCCGTCTCGCTCTCTCAGAACCCGGCGTGAGCAGGAACCTCCAGTTCCTCCAGCGTCCATCCAGTGGAACGGCTCAACTGGGAACCGACGCCGTGCTGGAATGTTCCGCTTCCGGATACCCGACTCCGAGCATCCAGTGGAAGAGAGGAGAGGAACTGATCCAGAGCTGGTATGTCCACCTGTCTGTTAATATTGCACGTTGTTCTGAGATAATCCAAGTTTAACCCACATGATAACCTATATTCTCTACTCAGGGTATAGTTTGTCCAGTAGAGCCCTACATGTATCCCAACACGGCCCAATCATTCATATAAGTCCAGTGATTATATATTACATTGTCAGTAAATGTTATAAAAAGACCAAAACCAACAATGAATGTGTCCGACTAACAAGTACTGTGTGTCAATCGCCATCAATGAGCCACACTAGCCGTGTTTCCATGTATTTTCTTGCACGTTTTGAAGGATCATATAAATGTTTGACGAAAGTGCACATTAGCTTTGTGTAGAGAAACTGTAGAGGTTTAAGGTGGTTTTGCCTTTGAAGAAAACCAGTCGACGCACTTAATAGAATAAAGAAAAGCGGTTGCCGAATAAATTCAGCGGCAGTGGCCTTTACTCGTCGATTACAATCATTGCATTGGTTTGTTTTCATCTCCAGACAACTTGAAACATAGCCAAAACTAGCTGACATGAGAAATTATTGACAATTGAAACTAATTCCTGAAAACTCATGCATGCAAAGATCAGGGGTCTCAAACTCCCGGCCCGCCACGTCATTTTATGTGGCCCACGAATCCGCCAGTAAAAAAAAAAAAAAAAAAAAAAAAAAAAAGAAAAATTAAAGTTAGACTTGATAATAAAAAGATCCCCATAGTCGAAATTATGAGATAGAAAGTCGAGGTTATGAGATAGAAAGTCATAACTATGATAGAAAGTCATAATTCTGAGATAGAAAGTCAAAATGATGAGATACTTAAACACACAGTCACAGAAGCAGCTCTTTGGCTGGTTACCCTACATGGGACATGGAAATGTATTGTGAGTACATTGAAGACTACTTTAAACGTAGCTTTAAAACACATGAAATACTTCACGTGGGATTGTGCAAACGCACCCTTCAAAGGATTTTAAGCATTGAACAAAGTTATTGTAATAACTTGTGTTTGATATTTGTCTTTGCTATTTTCTTTAATAGTTTGATCTTTGATAGAGTAATGTGGGTTTCTTAACCCTAAATTAAAAGGATTTAAGTTATGATAACAGAAATGTGCTTAAATATATTTTTACATTTATATAACTGCATGTACAATATTTTTACACTTGAATAAACAATAATCAAATGCAGAGACAGTTATTTACCAATATGTTAGGAGTAGTTACATTTACACAGTCTTACATTTACAACCGGCCCTTTGAGGGCGACCGTGGCGCTGATGTGGCCCAGAGTGAAAATGAGTTTGAGACCCCTGGGTTAGATGGTTAGATGGTTTATTTCCAGTTCGCAACCTCTACTTCTTCTTCTACTCTGTTTAATGGTACAATACAGACATGCGTAGCCAATAGCACCAACTTCTGACAAAACTACGCTGTAGCCAAGTATATCTGCTGCAAAGCAGTCGATGGAAACGCTACAAATTTGCATTTCTTTATTGCAAAATTACAAAAGTTATAAGTTAATTGAATGGAAACATAACGCTGTTGTTGCTTGAGTTACTTCATTACCACGAATACACACACACTGAAGTATACTGTACATATTTTGACTCAATCCCACAACGTAGATTAATACGCAGCTACAAATAGTCCCGAACAAATGCACTATTTCCACATGGGGACCGACTGCTTTAGGAATCTTCAGTAGAAACCAATGGGCCCTGTCTGAAAGTAGAGGGACAGGATTTGTTGACAATGAGAACATTTGTAGAATTAACCAGACTTATCATTTTATTAAGAAAGCTAACTTGAAAAAAAAGAATGTGCTGAACGAAATCTACCTCACTCTTCCTTCCTCTGCAGGAATAAGAAGTACTCTCTGCTGGTGGGCAGTAATCTGATCATCAGGAGTGTCACTGACGACGACTCTGATACTTACAGCTGCACAGCCGGCAACAAGAATCACAACATCACTGCACACACTGAGCTGACTGTACTAGGTGAGCCAACGCACATTTTTTTTTGGTGCATTTTTGCTTTTATTTTGATAGTGACAGTACAGAGGTGACAGGAATTGAGGAAAGCGAGAAAAGATACAACAAAGGTCCCCAGTTGGCAGATGTGATTGCATGGATGACGTTATAAAAGCTAATTCTAATATCAACGCTACAACCATCTTAACCCTCAAAGAGGAATGGACTAAATGTCCCCACTCTCCAAAACGCACATTGGTCCTCACAGGGGAAGAAGTAAAAGAGCACACACGCACCTTCAGTCTTCTGTATTGTGTGGAAAATAGAAGATTAGAGCCGTGTCTCTTCACAAATTTCCCAAGGGAAAACCTGACAGGAAACTGTTAACAGCCTGACATCCCCAAAATAATAAAATTAAATAAAATAAAATTAAATTAAATAAAATTTAAAAAAATTCTGTATCCATCTGCTGACAGGCCCCTCCTTTCTGCTGACACTCTCCGCCAGAATCAAAATGTGCTCATGAAATATAAAATTGGAGCCGTCTGTTTGCTTCAGGAGGTTTTCATAAATATCATATGTTTGTATTTATTCTCTGACTGTTCCCCAGCTGCTGGTGGTTTCTAACAGATGCTGCTCGTGCATTCAGGTGTGTTCAGCAGGAAGTCAGCCGGCTCAGCCGGAGAGGATCTGAAAACAGACCTCCACTAAAACAAAGCAAGGGCCTGTGTTGGTGGTGGCGTCGTACGGCTTCAGATGTCAGGGACGCAGGAAATACAATACAAAGAGGCTTTGTAACGGAGATGACGCATTGCAAGGTTTAGAAGGTCATCCAATGGTTTTAAATGGTATACGCTTCCTGGGTCCTAAATGGGAGTGATCATGGCGTGTTGCCCCCTCCACCTTGTTTGGATGGATGAATGCAGTTCAAGTTATGTTATGCATTATGAATGAATAGTTTCTTCATAATGCCATTATATCTTCTTTGGCTAACATTAGATATTTACACAGCTTACAGCCATATTTAGCGTTATGCAAGTTATTTTGCTAAGGCGGTTTGCCTATGTTAGTTGCCAGATTTCGCGAGACTCTGCTGGGACAGAGAAAAGTCTGGAACAAGTTACATTTTCTCCTGAAAAAGGCTGTTTCAGTGTCAGAATATTCAGAAGATATGTGGCTTGTGAAAAATGCTTTGGTGACTATAGGGAGAAAGAATAGGTCATAGACTGTGTTGACATCTCCCATTGGAGTTTCCTGCCGTAAGTCTCTTAAAGGGGCGGGTCAATGGCAAAACCCACCTCACACAGATACAGGAAACTGACTCACAGTGGACCATCTCCATTATGTAATGTCTCTGGTAATGGATTTAGAGTGTTGTTGTAGGGATTCAACTTTTTGCCTGTGGAGTGTATTCAGTTCTTTGAGTAACACGGCCATTCGTTCTTGCCATAGACTGTATATAAGAAGTAGACATAGTAGTCATGACGTCACCCATTGGTTAGTGGACTGCCGTTTTGAAACCTTGAGTTTGACATTTTAAACATCGCCATCTTGGATTTTGTCTGTCGCCTTCTTGGTTTTTTGCAACTAACGGTAGTGACCAGATTTGGACTTGGAGAAGTAATGCCATGGTAGGGACGCTGTACACAGCTCTACTAGCGACCTGTCAATTGGCTACAAGGTAGCCCCGCCCTAAAGCATACTCTGCTTTATCTGTTTGACTCTAAATGGACCATAAGTTACTAAATGAACATCATGCTGTATTGAAGAAGACTCAAAACTAGAGATTGAGACCATAAACTCATCTTGACAATGTTTACTGAGGTAATAAATCAAGAGAGAAGTAGAGTCATTTTCTCATGGTCTTCTAGAAAATCGGACTTTTTTTTTTTGCAACCAGAGAAGTCGCCCCCTGATGGCCATTAGAAAGAATGCAGGTTTAAGGCCCTTTAGTATTGGCTTCACCGTTCAGAAGCGAAGGTTGTGGCCTGGTCATCGTTATGCCAGTTTAATAGCAAATCTAATGATGATGTTGACAAAATGATGGATTAAAATGGATTTGTTGAGAGAGACGATCTGAGGAAACATCTGTTTGGGTCTTTTAAGTTGATTGATAGACTTGATTCTACTGTCATTATTTGTTGGGTTACTGTGGTAAGTGAAGTACTGTTAAGTCATATGAAGAGCATGACGAGTTATGATCTTTTGTGGCCAAAGTATTTGATCTTTTGTGGGCTCCATAAATGTTGTTCCCAAATTGATATACAGGCTCATCACCGGGAAACAACTATATCAGAGTTTTTTAAAAACATTAATGAAACATGAGACGGTATGTCTATTTCTTTCTGCGAGCAGATAGTTGAAATCAAACAGAAGCAGCTGTTGTTTGTTGGACTCGGGAGAAAATCTGCAAATTAACCTTCGGGTGTTTTCTGCCTCCTTCCAGCTGGGCCTCATCTCCGTGCTTTCATGTCTTTGTCTCAGCGTCCCCTCGGAGTCCGTCCCTGTGTTTCACATCACATTCATATTCTGTTTACACTCTGCTCTCAACAGTCGCCACCTGCAAACATCACACGATGTTTACAATAAACAGCCGCCGTCTGTGTCCTCGGCGCGGTAAGCGCTGTATTCTGACATGTTGAATTAGTGCCACAGAAACATGTCACCACTCATACGATGGTGAGATCGTTTAGTGCTCAAACTCACTCCATGTTCCTGAAAAGTAATAGAACAATAATTATTATTCTGTATTGTTCCTGTCCAAGCCCCAACCACAGAGCCTGATAAATACATTGTTCTTTAGGCAAGTTAAGAGAGACGCTGTGTGCATTCAAGCATACAGCAGCGTAAATTCTTTATTTATTTCATTTCATTTTTCTAAAAGTTTATTTCTTATTTTCTCTGTCAAGTGTATAACTAGCTTTTACCTTCGCTGCCTAAATGTCCCACCATATTTGCTACAAAGTGACACTACTGCTCACATGGATATTTTTTACAACCGTAAGCAGCCTCTCTAGTCATTAGAGTTAATCATTAAAGAAAACTCTAATACATCTAAACGATACGTCATTTTTAAAGCAACGTAGCTTTCGATCAATCTGGCAGAGGGGGAGTGAAATGTCTGTGTGGACACATTTCACAATAAATCTCAGAGGAGAAATCCAAGACCCTCCGCTTGTTCTCTGAAAAACGTTGTTGATGCATGTTGACGCTGGGAAATAAGACAGCAAACTTCCCTTCTTCTAAATATTACTTTCGCATAAAACGAAAATTGCACTGTGCGTTTTTGTTGTGTTTTAATTTTGTAGTCATTTTAAGTCAAACCATGACAACTAGGTAGTTTTGTTGCCCAAACGTAACAAACTATTTAAGTAGCGTTGATTTCTTCTTTAGTTGAATGGGAACATTATTTTGTAGGAGACAGGGTTGGATGAGTTGACAGGCACCCAGAGATGTGCTAGATATTTCTGAATCTGAGGTATTCATGAAGCGAAAGCAAAATAAAAATGAATAAAAAGAAGCCACAGTTTTACAGGTGTGCAGGTGTTTTGCCGTTAGTCCAAGATGTCCTCCCAGCTTGTGTCTTTTTTTCGGGCCATACTGAGCTGGGCGGATAAACACAACGGCAAAATAAACCTTACGAGGAAACCAAAACACCGTTACAGAAGTGAAGCGTTACAGAATTCCATTCCAATGAAACACAAGCTATGCAAACCCAAAAACTATTAACTAAAGCCAATATGAATCTACACATAACTCAAACTCTGTACACCTTCTACATCAACAGAATATCCCCATCTATTAAACATAAGGTGAAAGATGTGATCAGGATAACCCTTCTCAGTAACTTATGTTAAAAACGCTGATCCTGTAGATTTCCTACACTTCATGTATTTCAATCTGTTTTTCTGTCACTTCTTCACATTAAACGGTCTTTGATAAAACGTTTCAGGGCTGAAGCAGACTGGGGATTTAAACTGAGGTTTTCTTCTTATCAAGACGAGCCTGCAGCGATCTGAATGCACTCTGGGTTTATTTATTCCGTCTGTCTGTCTTTTATCTCTCCCTGACTCATCTACAAATTCAATTTAGTTGATAAGGTGAAAAGTTTACTGACACGCTACATTAACACACACTTTCTCTGCATATTTGTGGACTTTTGTGTCGGGTTAACAAGACATGCACACACTCAGAGAAAAAACAAGAGATCCCTCTACTGTTTTCTTTTTTTTTTTATTATTATTTGTCTTTTATAACATGCACACACTCAGAGGAAATGTTAGAAGTTTAAGCAAAACAACTCTTGTCATACTCACGACTGCTGCTCTCAGTTTCTCTTTTTAATGGCATTTTAATTACCTCCACCATGGAGGTTGAGTTTACAGTTCGTTGGTTAGTTTGTTTGTCAGTTTATCAGCTGATTCACAGAAAAACTACCGGCTTGAATTTGGAGCTTTTGGGGGAAAGGTGTAGCATGAGCTAAAGAAGAACTCAATACATTTTGATGCAGATCTGAAACACAGGGCAGATAAATATATCTCACTTATTTCAACTGAGTGTCCTTCTAGTTTACCAATAATGTCCATTTGCTTTCTTCTTCACCAGTTTTGAAGTTACTGTGACTTTACTATTAGTAATAATTCCTGTATAGATGTTTCACATTAAAAACCTTCCAGCGCCTCAAACGCCATGACCATGTTCTTTTTCTGGTGGGCTTTTAATTTGAAACATTTGCATTAAATGTTGAGTTTCATTGGTGGTATCGCTTAAAAGAGATTGGAAAGTTGCAAGGTGGGCAATGAGGGATTTAAAATTATATTTATGAGAGGGCTTATTTGAATACAGGCACAGGTTTGAACTGCATGTTGTATGATTCAGAGTGTGAAGAGACCTGTTTTGGTACACAAGAGCTATGATAGTCAAATGTTGTTCATTTTCTAGACTTATTTCAAGCATCACTACTAGAAGGGTTGGAGTTTATTTACCATCCTGAACCTCCCTTTTGCAGTGAGGATCCTCATTTAACC